TAATTGTCAGTATGTCTATTTTGCAAAATGCAAACATCTCACAAACTAGAGAAATTAATATTTTCTAGGCATATGTAAATAAGGGAGGCAGACAGACTCAAACCCCATGGGTCTTGTGGACCATGGAACTGGAAATATGAGGGATGCTAGTGTAAAAACGCCAGCACTGGCTGCTCAGAGCGACACGGAGTCAGGCTGTCATATAGCCAGATCACTTCTGCATTGCATTTAAGCTAACTGATGAGGCCAGCCTGACCAACAGCCTGAAAACAGCACTCCAGAGCTGTTTTACAAGGTGATCAGCTCTTGCGTTCTCCATGCAGCATCTCAGGAATGGCAACAGTCATGATGGCGTATTACAATATCTGCATTCAGGAGTTCTCCATGCTGTGTTCACGTAGACTTCATTCTCCTCCTTTCTCCCCACCAAAAGATACCAAAGTTACCTGTGAATTGTTTGATTTGCCTATTTCTCTAAAATATATGATTGCATTTGAGGAGATTACTTTGAAAATGAGATGGCATCATTATTATTTTTCAATGAGATTGTATCATTATTATGAGATGGCAAATGAGATGGCATCATTATTATTTTTCTATTATGCATTCCATGCTATTTGAAGTTTGCTTGAAAAAGACAGAATGAGTCAATGCAAATCTTCTCCCTACGCTTCAGTCTCCTCAGTTGCTTACTGGAGATGGTAATTCCTGGCCTTTGTAAGGAACACTGAGCAGCTTGGATCAGAAGCACCCAGCCTCAGGTTTGTGTTTGTCCCGGCAGGGCTATGCAGTTCTGTTTAATATCATAGCTAGTGGGGCTAAATCACACTGGTACTGGGAATGCTGTGGTGGTGAAGAGGACAGTCATAGGCAGAGAGAGAAATAGTCCTTCCTGAAAAAACAGGGGATTTAGATTATGCATGTAAAATCATTTGTGATGTATTCAGGGTGCACACTGTTTCTAATACTTCTGTGTTGATGCTGAGGCAACACTGCTCTGCATGGAAACCAGGAATCACTGGGCCAGAGGGAGGGCAACATCGACATGTTGCCTACTGGTTGAGGTCCCACCTGGCAAGGCAAAGCTCTGGGTTCCCAAACAACTGTGCGTGCAAGAACCCAAACCTTGGTGTCCTGCTGCACAGATGAGGGCTCAAATCTAGGCATCAGAAAACAAAATAAGAAAATCTGCCGGATGTGGAAGTTAGCACACTCTCTGGGAGGCAGGAGATGCTAGTGGCAATGCCGTCCCATGAAGGAAGGAAGAGATGCTGGTGGCAACGCTATCCCACAGAGGACGGAAGGGATGCTCACTTTCTCTCCTCTTCAGAGCACTCTAACCTTTGGTCTATTCTATAAAAGGGGGGCAACTTCACTGGCATCCCACATCCCAACAGGCCTCTTATAAAAGAGATGAGCCCAGCTCAATTCTGTCTAAGAAGGAGCACATGCACCTGCCCTCAGGGAAGGCTCAGGGCGGTTTGATCCCCGGCATGGGGAGCTGCTCCTGGCAGCCTTGATGAAGACTCCCAGCCCTGCTGGCTACCTGAAGGAAAGAGCAGGGGTGCCTTCCTCTACAGGATGTCTTGAACCTGCTCTGAGATATCAGTGTCTCTCCAGGCTGGTTTCTGGTTCTCACTTAGTCCTAGGTATACAGGATTAGGGACCTAATGTGAAAGAAAGGCATAGATGTTCAGATAGTCTCAGGTCTCTTTGGTTGGCCTATTTGGCAGAGGGCAGTTGACACTTGCTTAGAGCCTTTTCCA